CACGTGCAGTGTGACTGAAACTTCGTGGCCCATGCGCAGAAGTCGGTATTTTGTGGAAGAGCCACACTCAAGGGGCCAAAGAACCGCATGTGGCTCGCGAGCCGCGGTTTGCCGAACCGCAGTTTGCCGACCACTGGGCTAGGGCAGTAGGCAATACCTTTTCAATGAACACTTAAATCAGTAAATTATTTTTTCCTTCCCATAAAGTTTGTTTTTTGAAAAAGCATTATAGGAGAGTTAGGAAAACACAGTAATGTTTAAAGAAGAAAATGTTAATTACACTGGCAAACTCTAAAAACACCACCGTTAACATTTTCTTCCCAGGCATTTTAGAAAAACACAGGTTGGATCGTAATGTGCACATAATTTATCTTCGGCTTTGAAGTCCAGGAACACCCTCAGCATTGAACTCCTGTTACTAAAAAACCTCGTCTAAAATATTTCAGTGGCGAAAACCATTCTGCTTTATAGCTGGATGACAATTGCCAGACATCATTGTTGGTCATCTTGCCATAGGCAGTTAGACATGAGCAGAGGAAGATGTGGGCCAGAACAGAAGGTCCCCAGGATGGACAGCCCCAGGTGCCTAGCAGTGGACAGTCAGTTACTAGTATAGGGCGGGACCTCCCCCAGGGTGACTTCTCCTCCCCCAGCATATGGCTGGTCAGGAGGTTGGACCCCCTGACCTGTCCTCCCTGAGATAACATCTGGGCCTCAGTGTATTTCAGCTCCAGGCCCAGATAAGCAACAAAACCAGCCACTGCTGTTCCAGCTGCCTGGAATAATGACCCCCTGCCCTGGTGCCAGCCAACCCATCAGTGGAGACCACAAAACCCATTTTTTTTTTGCCAGCTCTGTGATAATGGAGCCTTGTAAAGATTTCCCCTTTGGGTGCTCTCCCTCCCTCCCTCCCTAGAGCAGGCTTGCTGGGGCCTTTCCCTCTCCCCTTCCCTCCCCCCTCCTCCCTTCCCCCAGGCACATCACCATTAGCTTCCTCTCTCCCAAGCTCCAAGGGCCCCTCCTTTACCTCCATAACCCATTTCCTAAGCCCCTTTCTTCTAGGAATTACTTCCACCTCTGCAATTCACCCCATAAATGTTCTCTTACAGTTTGGGTCTCGCTCTGAGTTTTCCTAGCCACAGAACCCTAGTACTGAGGTTGCTGAACCCAGGTCCTGTCTAACCAAATGGGTCTGAACCCAGGTTTGGTGAGACCCTGGTGCCGTTTCCACCGCCCACAGCATTCTGGCTGGTTCCGGTTGTTATTGCACTATTATACATAACACTGCAGTGAACATCTCTGTGCTTACAACGCTTTTCCTGTGTTTCTTTCATTTCTTTAGGACACGGCCCAGACATCCAGTTCCCAGCTTAAAGGGTATGACTATTGTGCTATAATGTGGGCCGGAAGGTCATACCTGCATTTACTTCTTTGTGTCATGTTCCCTTAAACCTCAGAGCAACGATGTGAAACAAACCACCACATACGTGGTGTCTTAAAGCTGAAAACATGAGGAAGCAGCAGTCAGCTTTTTCACATTTCCTCCACTTTATGGGGGTCGGGGGTTATTACAGAGAGGGCGGGAAGGGGGAAACTGGGCTCAGAGACAGTGGTCTCCCAGTCCAAATACGGAAAAAGAAACCGACAGGTAGCTGAGATATACGTGCAAATCGATATGCGAACCTCAGGACCAGGACAGCGAGCTGCCTTTTCATGCAGCCTGTGAGTCCAAAGCCTCACTCTCCGAGTTTACAGGAGAAAGAACACCTTTGCACTTAAAAACAGACGGATAAACGGAATCTCTCACCTTTCGGAGTCTTGCGAGGAGACCTGCTACGTGCTCGTGCTGCTCCGACCGGGCGAGATCTTCTGCTGTCTTCCCATCCTGCCGGAGGAAAATGATTAGTTTCCTTCCTTCTCAACAGAGAGTGTGCGATCCACACGCCCTTTCCGTCATCGGAGGCAGAAACAGAACAGGAGGCAGAAGCAAAGACGGTGGCCAGACAGAGCGCACCCGGCTTACTCCCTCTCAGGGGATCCTCATTTCACTTGACTGTGCAGGGAGGGAAGAGAAGTAGGAAGAAGTCGTGCATTGGCGTTTTGAGGTCCCCCCCGCCCCCGCCCCGTTTTCATCGTACTCAGCACCTCATTAGCAGGCAGACTACTTGGTGAACTGAATCCTTTTCCAATTAGGCAGACAATAAAGATGGTCATTAGACACCAAATTCCAGTTAGCATCAGCTAACATCTTAAAATACTTCCAGAGGCCACCTCACCACCGATGTCATGCTAGTTACTAGTCACTGCTGTGCATTCAAAGAAAGGTTTTGTTTAACAGACAATTATATCCACAGACTTTCATTGAATGTAAAAGAAGGATGTGGGCAACAAGGATAAGGGGCCCCATGTTAAACCTGACAAGCTCAGGGGAGGCCTGCACGGCGGTGTTACAAACTCAGACCGAACGTAACCACTTAGGATGGACTGAAATTCAAACGTTCTAACTACAAGTGAGTCAGGGAGGGTAGTCCTGTTTTAGGCCTGTATCTCCCCTGACAAAGGGCAATCTTTAGCTTAATTGAGCCTGTCTATTGTCTTTTTGCATCTATGGTAGCGTACTTTTGGAATGTCAGAGTATCCCCTTTTTTCCAGACCCCTCAGGGCACAATCTCCCACCAGAGCACAGACCACAGAACCCTTCATTGTCACTGTTAACTATCCTCTACCCACCTATTTAAAAGTATGTGTCTCTCCTTTTACTTTTTATCCAATCTCAGAGATTCCCACCTCCCACGTGCCTAATCCTCCGGCATCCCTAATCTATCACCAACGGTTTCATGTGACACCCTTACATTTTCCTCCTTTGATTCTATGTATAAAACGGTGCAAAACCGCCATTCTCAGGAGCATTTTCTCAATCCACTGAGAATTTGATTCCTTGCAACTGTCAAGTTTGATTCAAATAAACGCATAAGAATTCTTACAGTTTTGGACGCTCCTTACATCAACAAGGATATAAATAAGGGCTCATGGATGGTACTTTGTTGTTTACTTTTTAATTAGAAAATTTCCATGGGGCTGCAGTGCCATACTACCCGAGTTCATTTGTTTGGTGCCATGAACGTGCACGACGGTGGCTAAGATTTCCTGAGCTCCTCCCAAGCATCCCCCTGGTCCAGCTCTCACGGCTTTGTGTGCTCACGCAGTCACTCATGGGAGGCGGGAACTACAGCTGTTCCCAGGCCGCCCAGGAGGACACGAGGCCGAGGCCCTGCTCTGCTGCCGTTTTAGAAATCATTATACATTTAAAGTAGAAACGACGAGGAGCAATTTCCACATAAATAAAAGCAACGTTTTTAAACAAGAAGAACAAGAAGCCTTTGGGCCCATGTCTCAGTGCTTGGCAGTAGCCAGGTCCCATCCCCACGGGAAGCTGAGAAATGCCCGTCTGTCCAAGAGCACACCTTCCCATCGCTCACAGCCAGTCGCTCTCTGAGCCACGCGTGGGGTCCCAGTCAACCAGTGTTTCTCAACCTCAACATGACTGACATTTCGCACGGTCATGCTCAGTGTGGGGGCCTGTCCCTGCACCCTGGGATGTCTGGCAGCATCCCTGGCCTCACCTCTAGATGGCGGCAGCATTCCTCTTCTCCACTGGCGACACCCTCGGTGTCTCCAGCCGCTCCCCAGGGGCAAAGTGCCAGGTGAGAACCAGCACCTTGGGCTGAAGCTGGAGCTCAGATGGGTGCTGGGAGGAGGCGTGCCTACAGTCCTGTGTCACCGCTCTCTGCTCCCCAAGACTTCCGAAAAGTGTCCAATGGGCAGGCGGGGCTTCTAGTTTGCTTTGGGGATGCATTAGGTGCCACGTCAGGGCTCATGGCAAACTGGTTAGATCCTTACTGACATGGTAAGAGAAGGACTCAGCGGCTCCCAGACTCCACTGCACAGGGAATCACTGGGGTCTTTAAGAACCCCCCCTGCCAGGTCTGGAGTGAGGAGCGGGGAGTGGGGAGTGAGGGGAACTCACTTAAAAATAACTCGCAGGCCTGCTAGCAGAGCCAGGCTTCTAAACAAGGGACAGCAGCTCTCGTCAACTGTCGCCCACACACCCAGGGCCCCTTCCTCCTCCCTCTCCGACAGCCAAGGCACCTCCAGTGCCCTGCACGGAGGGGGAGCATTTAGGAAAGAACACACACATCTAATAAAACCGGCAAAGGCACAGTTACGTAACACGGGGAACAAAAAGGCCCCTGGGAGGCAGCAGCATTCCCGGCGAGAGGAGAGGAGGAGCCCTGAGGAGATGCCACCCCGGCTTGTGTGGGCACAGGTTCCGCACTGCAGGCAGGGGCCAGCGCTTGGCAGCAGCTCGCCTGCTCCAGGTGCCGCTGCCAGGCCAGCCTTCACCGAGGCCTTTCCCTGCCGCAGGGCTACTCACCGAGGTCAGCGCCTCCACGTTGGCGCCCGTCAGACAGAGGTAGCGGACCACGTCGAGAATCCCGTTGTTGGCGGCCAGGTGCAGGGGTGTGCGGCCATACTGCAAGACAGAGAGGCCCCGGAGGGTTCTGAGGATGGTGGGCTGGCCCACTGCGAGGGGTCTGGGACCCACCAGAAAGAAGCAGGAGGCGTGGCCTGCTTTTGCAGAAACTCGCATCTCCTGGAGGAGGCAAGCCAAGCACAACGTTCTCAAGTGTTTTTTTTTTTCAGTTAAAAGAGTAACTTCAAAGGGTGAAAGAGTGGGAGGCTTATCATAAGGTAATTAAGTCTCTTGCTGCGCTGGCATAAAGGAGGGTTCAGTCAGGGCTTAAGGGCCGGCCCCCAGGTTCCAGAAAGATCTGCACCACAGTTCACATTTAGACTCAGCGAGGGACGAAGGGACGGGAGGACAGCCACTGAAGGCACACTGATGAGGTCATGCCCACCTTTAAAAAAAAATTTTTTTTAAAAATTGATTTCAGAGAGGAAGGGAGAGGGAGAAAGAGATAGAAACATCAATGATGAGAGAGAATCATCCACTGGCTGCCTCCTGCTCACCCCACACTGGGGATCAAGCCTGAAACCCACGCATGTGCTCCGGGCCAGAATCGAACCCGGGACCCTTTAGTCCGCAGCCGACACTCTATGCACTGAGGCAAACCGGCTAGGCATGCCCACCATTTTTAAAAAAATGTCTATGGTTCCCAAATTGTGTAACTAGGCACGTCCAGGCGCTGCAGTTGACTCCTGGAGGCATGTTAAATATTTTAAATTTCTGATGAAACCAGCAGGTGGGACACCAGGTGAGCTACTAGCTCCAGGTAGTGAGGGTCTCAGCGTTGGGTTGTACTGTCTTCCTTTCACTGACACCAGCGGGGCCTTGGCGGTTACTGTGATAAGGAGCAAGCGCATTTTGAGAAAATTAATGTTCAATCTGAGTCCAAGATGTGAGGGGCGGTGAGAACATCCCATTAGTACATAACTGTGGTTATGTAAGAATGACATTAACCTACTCGTTTTCTTTCGATTATGTGAATCATTCATTGCAACGGCTACTAACTTGTTAGGATATAAAGACTTACTAAGCTGTTTAGACTGAGCCACTTAATAAACAGAACTGTTAGGTATTTCTTTGGCCCTGGGGGAACCACGAAAAAATTACTGAGACACAACAGATGCTGGGAACCAAGAAAGTTAGGGTATCTCTGTCTTCTATTGTTTATTTGCAAATAGAGGTTTTTCTGTTATGAAGTTAACACAGGCTCATTTGAAATGTCCCAGCAACGTGGAAGGATAAACGGTAGAAAACAGAAGTCCTCCTTCCCTACTCCATCCCTCCCCTGCCCCTGCTCAGAGCTGGCCCTACTTAACACTCTGGGGCATTTCCTCCCAAGCTTTTACCTATGAATCCACAAAAGGACATACATTGTTTGAAAAGTCCAGACGTAATCATCCTCCAATTCTATTCTGTCACCTGCTTCGTGCACCTAGCAATTGGTTGTGAACACTTTTCCATGTGTCACTAAACCTTCTTTCGGACGCCTGACTAATGCCCACGACATGGACATGCCACAGTCATTTGCCAGCCCACTGCGGAGGGACACTGAAGGCCGTCCCACTCCTTGCCATTGTGAATAACCCTGCAAGGTGTGTGCCTGTTTATGTTTTGTCTACTGTTATCTTCTAGAGCAACTTAGAAAGCAGCACCCACAGTACCTACACCACATGTCAGCTACAGGGGCCTCCAGACAGCCCCTAAACACACACATATGCTTCCCTTGGTCTGCAATGCAGTCTCCCCTCTTCATCTGTCAAACTCCCAATCATTTTAAGGGATTGCCCCTGAAAAGCTTTTCCTAGTTTCCTTAATGTCCAGATGTCAGCGTTTCCATAGCGCCCGTGCGTCTGTCATTGCCGTGATTGAGACATGAGATGCTATTACACTGAGAAGCAAAAATAAAAGAGAGAGAGAGAGAGAGAGAGAGAGAAGCAGCCTGAGGGCAAGAGCTATCACCCTGCTGCCCACAAGCTCCCTCCCACGGGCCTGGCACAGTGCTGTCCGAGCCGGGAAGCGATAAACACCTGATGGGCACGAAATCCTCTCTCACGCTCCGGATGCACGTGTGTGTGCATCTGTGTGTACATGTGCTTGTGTACCACACGATTCTCTCTCTGAACTGATGAGAAAAGGCAACATGAAAGGAATAAAGAGTTAAGGGCTGTGTGCTCTGCATCGTCTAGTTCCTGCTCACGTGTTCCCTAACATGGCCGTGCTCAACAGCCACTCCCCCGATTTTCATACGAGGAAAGCGAAGACTAAGAATTGTCTATTACACTATGAGTGTGGAAGGTAGTGACAAGTTGCTGTCACATCCTGGTGATAGGGGTGGCATCTGAATGGCATTTTTACCTCTGGGGGAACTGAATCCAAGTAAGGAACAGGCACACCACAGGGAAGGAGCGACAGTCTGTCCGCAGGCGTGGGCTGTCACTGTGCCGTGTCCCAAAATCCTGACAGCCAGTGACTAGGGTGAGTCCATGGGAAGCCAGCTGTGCTTTCTGGGGGAAATAATACCTTCCTCTTACCTTCCTGCACATCTTTTCAAAATATATTTTATTGATTTTTTACAGAGAGGAAGAAAGAGAGATAGAGAGTTAGAAACATCGACGAGAGAGAAACATCGATCAACTGCCTCCTGCACATCTCCTACTGGGGATGTGCCCGCAACCAAGGTACATGCCCTTGACCTGAATCGAACCTGGGACCTTTCAGTCCGCAGGCCGACGCTCTAGCCACTGAGCCAAACCGGTTTTGGCCTGCACATCTTTTAAGTTCTTCTAGAGTCCCTGTTATCTTTCAAAAAA